ACCAACATCAAGTCACTAACAAAACTAAACACTTTGAAACCATATTAAACACATTACAATACAAACAATAACAAAATACATCAAGTAACTCAAGATAATATTTTTTAAGGTAATGTTTCTAACTTAACATAATGTATACATGAAGTTTGTTTGCTAGTCCTAAGGTTGCACATAAACTCAAATTGTGAAGATGATTCGTTGAATTTTTGTAGTTAAGTATTGTTTTTTATGTATTAAGTCAAAATATAATGTCCATATATAGCTTACACTTAAGTTTTTTTTAGAGTTTCTAGTTGTATCAGTTATATCATTGTAGTTTTTTCATTTATTTTTCTTATTCATTTTTATATTTATATATGGTTGACATTGTTGCATGCTCTTTGTTAGTGCTTACACAAATCATACCCTGCCTCTTCAACCTTCATGAGGGCAAAACTGTATATCTATGTAGTTTAAGATTTTTTGGTACTATCTCTACTAGGAGTTGGGAAACTAAATTAATGAGTGTGATTGGGTTCTTATCTGATTATCTAGATCTTAAAGCCTTCTATCATCACTTTTACTTGTAGATAAGTAGAATATATCACAATGTATGCACATAGAAAGCAAAATCTGTTTTCACATATTTAACATTTAGACATTTAAGATTTATCCAGCATTATGGTGCATAAACAAATGCATATACATACATAGTGTATTGAAAGGAGCAACAAAAAAAAAAAAATTGTACACTCATCGTCACTGTGTGTGGTAGTTTAAGCAGGAAAACAAAGACTCAATAAACTAACCTCAAAATGTGGTCAATCACCGGAATTCCTTTTCTATGGGGGGTGGTGAACCTTCTTCCCAACCAATAGAGAAATGGGGCTGTGATTTAGGGCTCCAAATTATTACAAATCAAGGACCAAACTATTACAAATTAAGAAGCAATCAAGCACCCAAACCCTTACCTTGGTGGTCGATGAACTCGAGAGCAGCTGGAACGCCCCTCGATTGCCGATGAACCTGAGAGAGAAATGGTGTGCCCGACTGCAAAAAGAAAGTTGAAAGGGTGTTTTGTTACAAGGGAAACCCTATACCGACGACATGTCGTCGGTATAGGTAAAACAAAACGTCGTCGTGTTACCTCACGTCATTAAAAAAATATGATAAAATAAAAAAAGGGATTTCATGCGGATCGGGGCACCCTTTTACCGACGACATGTCGTCGGTATATCATGACGAAACGACATCGTTTACATATTCTGCGACACGGATAAAAAATAAAAAGAAAATTAATTTTTAATCCACCTATACCGACGACATGTCATCAGCATAGGATGACAAAAACGACGGCGTCTTGACTTTCTGTTACAAGGAATTAAAATAAATCGAAAATATTTTTTTAGAGCATTTTCCAGACGACAAGTCATCGGTAAAGTTTTTCGATATACCGCCAACATTTTAACGTTTCCCGCCGAGTCTATACCGACGACTTGTCGTCGGCATAGCCCTTCTGGTCAAAGTCAGACGGTCAATGTTTTGTAACTTTGTACCGACGACATGTCGTCGGTATAGGTTGACTTTTGCCGACGACACATGTCGTCTGGATAGGTGTCGTCTGCAAAGGATGACATTCTTGTAGTGCTATATACAGAAAGTTGAAAATGGAATTATGCTCGAATCTTGAATGGTGGCTGCAAAATCTACTCTGAAGGTAAAAGGGTCTGCCAGCTACAACACCAAGTTCAAAATCATCATCATCATCATCATCATTCAATTACCATTCCAGAATCGTAAACATAATACATAAATCCAACAAGAAATGACAGAAATATTGATTAACTGTTGTTGGACTGAAAGGTTGGTAATTGGCATAAATTATTGAAATGTTCCAAGATTAGGTGTTTAGGAATTGTATAAAATTTTTGGCAAATGAGTGGCACTTTCCAGATGGGAAATCAAGGAGGTCAACATAAAGTCCAGGAGAACCTGCTTCTACAGTAAGTAAGATAATGATCTGGGAAATCAATCGCGTACAAACACTTATCGCAGAGGTGTCTCGCAATGCTTTTGAACCATGGACATTCGTCATTAGGTTGCCTAAACCCATTTCTCTTGATACTTGATGCCAATTTGTGTACATTCAACTGGAGCACAGTTCCAAACCTAAACAAAGATGCCAATTGTGATTCATGATTTTGAACTAGTAAACAATTTTAGTCAATTTAAACGAGTGAGGACAAGATTATGGAAAAAAGGAGAAACCAGTACCAGTGATCAAGGGCGAAAGATAAGGAACGAACGCGATGAGGATATCGGAAGATGGCAGGGAGTGATGGAACTCGGTTTTGGTGGGGGAGAACGGGGGGATTTTAATCGCACACCTATAAGAACCTATAACCTAATAGTCAAAGTAAACGCATGAAAAGACTATGTTCAAAATCAAAATTTATTGGATTATTTACATCTACCTCCCCTGAGATATATCAGACTTGGAACTTAAGCCTTTATTTTTTAATATTTATTATTAAACCTTACAGTTAATATATAAATTTATTTTTTGTAATCTTAATAGTTATGTATTTTCCAACAACTTTTATTTAATTAAATTTATATTAAAATAAAATATTGTTTATTATTTAATAAAGTTTTAGTTACAATGCCCTTTAACATTTGTACTTTTAAATTTATAGTTATTCACAAAAAATGTAAAGATAAACAAATCAAACGTATATCCAAGCATTCTAAATAGTTTGATAATTACAATGTCCTTTAACATTTGTACTTTAAATTTATAGTTATTCACAAAAAACATAACGATAAACAAATCGAACGTATATCCAAGCATTCTAAATAGTTTGATAATTACAATGTCCTTTAACATTTATACTTTTAAATTTAGAGTTACTCACTAAAAATGTAACGATAAACAAACCGAACGTATATCCAAGCATTTTAAAGCTGTAGGGAGTGGTCACATCCAACCCACTGAAAAAGCGTTGTCACCTCTGCGTCAAGTCAGCTTCACCACCAACCCACTAAACATTGGAAATGATTACCACTCCACAAATTATTTATTTAGCATTGTATATATGTTGTCTATTAATATGCACATGCATATTAAAAAAAACAAGTTCGTCAAATCTTTTCATAAATCTCGACATGCATATTAGAAAAAACAAGCCCACAATAGATGTGAAAAACATTTGAATCTACCTCTCTC